ATATTTGTCCCCACTGAATTTTTTTTAAAAGATTTAAGGGTAGTTATGTTATTTTGACAAATATATGAGTCTCACTTGTAAATATCAATGAAAGATGATATCAAAAGTTTGGACATTTAAAGATTAACTAATATGTTACGAAATATATTAGCCTTCTCATTTGTTTTATGTTTATACATCGAACTAAATTTAGGGCTTGTAATCCTCTTCTTTGTTTTATGTTTATATGTTAGAATTGAAAATTAGGGTTTGTAGCTCTCTTTTGTGATTTTTTTTTAAATGTTGAATTGAAATTAGCGCTTGTAGCTTTTTTGTATTTTATTTGTTACATGTTGAATTGAAAATATAAAATTGGAGTTTGTAATCATCTCTTATGTTTTATTTTTTATGTATTGAATTGAAATTAGAATTTGTAGTCTTATATTTATTTTTCTATGTTGAAATAAAATTGGGGCTTGTAGTCCTCTTCTATGATTTATTTTTTTATATATTTAATTGATATTTGGGTTTGTAGTCCTCTCTAGTATTTTATTTTTATATGTTGAATTAGAATTAGAACTTGTAGTCGTCTCATTTGTTTTATTTTTATTTGTAGAATTGGAATTAGGACTTGTAGTCTCCATTATAATTAGACTAAATTATTTTGATTTGGTAGTTTGAACAGTTTTATTGTGATAAGTTATGTACTTCATATACCTATGTTTAGTTTACTAAAATAATTATAGTTTAAGTTAGTTTCGATTGTTTGTTAAAATTTAATGATGAATATTAAGTTTGTGATTGAACAAATTAATTTTTGAATTAGTTACGAAAATTTTTCTTAAAATTTAATATATGATTGAGCCCAATTTTGCGGTTCAAAATTTTTTTGTTAGATCTTATAGATAAATTTATAATGAGTTTTTTTTGTTGGCTCATTTTTGTATATCACTCATGTATATAAATTGCGTCTTTAATTGGTGTTTTATTAATAAAACTATACTTTTGTGAATATTTTAAATTTTAATATTAATATAGTTTAAGTTGCTCCCACGGGAGAATATGTCTGGCTCCGCCCCTGACGATATTGAATGAGTTGATTTTTCGATTCAGTGAGGAAATCGTCTAAATTGAGTGATAACATCAAAGGGCCTCAAAAATCAATCCCATCATATGAAATAGTAATTTTTTTTCCTTCCCTTTCTTTAACTGCAAAATTTGAAATTAATTTCTAACCATTAGTTTTTTGAAAAAAATCCATAATTTTTTTTTCAAAATACGTGACCTAAATATCATCATATGTACACTATTGTATTTGAACAACGTCCAAAATAAAAATTATATTGAGTCACAAATTATTCAAAAATTAAAATGATTCAATTTGTGATATAAATGGGTAATGTGATAGAAATGAGAGAAAAAATATGTGGGGATAAAATTCAAAGTGCTAGTTATTTTATTAGATAGATAGGTTAACATGGATCTAGTGATGGATCACTGATACAGTGATATTTGTCTCTTGTTTTGTCTTTCTAGAATTTATACAGTTTGTTTGATTGGAAATCGGGTTACTCTGAATTGCTGGAGTGGCATTTTTATATGCTTGAAAAGGAGTAAGACGATGTTGAGATTAGTGCAATGGCTCTCTGATCCGTATATGGTGTATGTTACACTGATTTGGCAAGCAAAGGGCACAACTTAGGCTGATATGATGAGATAAAGAGGCAATGCTTAAGCATTTATCTTTAGGGTGCCCACAAAACTGTGTTATTAAATGCATTCAAAAGAGGGTGATGTTGGTTCTGTTTGATATTTTGTGCCATGCCTGGAATGATCCTTTTCATGCTTTGGACATTTTGTTCTAGACTTCTAGTAGTTGCCATTATGTCCTTTTGGAGATTTATGAGTAATGCCCTAAATAAGTTTAAAATTGTCCACTCCTATAAAGAGGGGGGATGATAACAAGTTAGTGCATGATCTCTACAATATGATAGGGATGGTAATTTTGATTTCTTACGGAAATGCATGTTGGCCCCAGTAATGAAATTTCTTTTTGATTATATTCCTTACATCATGATAAAATCATATGTTTCCATAGGATGGGCCCAATCCCTGCTAGGGAAGAGTTTCTTAGATATGCAAAAGAAGGCTAAAACTGAGAAAACTGGAAAACTCTTCATGTTTTCTTGGGTCAAATAACGTGGTGGAATATAGTAACCCAGACGTGATGGTTTGCTATTGGATCCTTATAAGTGGTAATTTAACTACTAGCCAGTTTTGAGGCCTTTTCTATATTGTGTTGCTAATCTTATCCGATTATTCCCCTTGGTGGTCCATGAAAGCTTGGTTATTTGATTTTCTCTCTCTCTTTTTTGGTGGCATAGGGTTTCGAAAGGAGTGAAGGATTTACCAGGAAACTTTCAATCCGCTACTAGCTATGTTCCTTCTGGAAAATCTCTCATGTACTTCGGTTTACTCCTTGCTTCTGGAGTGTTCTTTATTTTCATTGCATTCACAATGTTCCTACCTGTCATGGTGCTGATGCCTCAGAAATTTGCAATCTGCTTCACTGTTGGTTGTGCATTTATCATTGGATCATTCTTTGCCCTCAAAGGCCCGAAAAATCAGTTTGCACACATGTCCTCAAAAGAGGTATCTCTATTATTCTTAATAACATTCAAGTTTAATTCTGTTTTTTATTTTCTTTTTTTAAGAGAAATTGGCAATTTAAATTTGGCTCCTCCTTGTCAGAGACTTTAGTTTTTCTGTGTTGCCTGTACTGTATCTTTTCTTCTCCATCTTTATATGTATTTTTTATTTTGGCCTTTTCAGAGGCTTCCTTTTACCTTGGGATTTATTGGCAGCATGGTGGGTACGGTCTATGCTTCCATGGTGCTTCATAGTTATATTCTTTCTGTGCTCTTCTCGCTATTGCAGGTATTTGTCCCAATCTTCTCTGATATATGCTGTATAATGATGTGCAGCAACGAAAAACTGGCTACCTAACTGGTCGGGTTTCAGTTGGGATCCTCGCCCCATGTTATGGCCTCGATTCCTTGCTTAGGTTAATATTTTTAAATCCAAATAAAGTGTTCTGCTTAAGAAAGGATTCCCCTCATCTCTGCAAGCCTGGTCATACAGTGGAACTCTGCATATGGAAAATGATTTTATATGTGGGCTGTGATTTCTGTGCCCACTGTTATCACGAGAGTGCATGATGAATCTCTCTTATGGACAGGTGTAAATTTGGAATGTTATTTACTGAGATTAGTAGACTACCATGAGTTTATTGAGCTGTTCCCACTGGTTTATGCAATGGGCCTATAAAAATTAGTTAATCCCCAGCCTGTGTTGGCATCAGTAAACACAAATTGAAACCTACTTATGATTGGCATATTCTGGCCATTGACACTGGTTATCAACTCCTCTTAGCTGGATGAATGTTGCTACTTGTATTATGACATGCTATAACAGGCTGCAGTTCTCCTTGGCCGATGTATCTTCCCATTTTCCCCCTGTAGTCTGCATCTGTTTTGCATTCACTTCTCATGGGCTTCGAATATTTACATATTTCTCTTGCTTGCCTGGAAGATGCAAATAATATTGGTAATTAGTCAAAAAATACATAGTTTCCAAGATAAAAGAGAAACAGCCTTTGTTATTTGTTAAATGTCTTAGTGGGAAGATTTTTGAATGGACACATGCTCAATCATCTCATTATCCATAAAAAAGGAATGATTGTAATTGTTGCCAATATAGTGGTGCATGTTCTCAACAAAATGATGATTTTCTTTCTTTTTTCTATTTGATATTTTTATGTTACAAGCAATAGCTGTTGCTGTACCTTATTTTGGACTAAGTTGATCTTGCTAGGTCCTTGCACTGTCATATTATGCGATTTCGTACTTCCCTGGAGGATCTGCTGGGCTGAAGTTTCTTTCTTCGTCCCTTACCTCTTCAATACTCAAATGTTTTGGAAGGTGACATTGACTTGTGGTTTGTTTATCTATCTCTTAGTCATTTTCTCAGTTCCTCTTACACTTTTGGTGGTGTTGATGTGTTTCAAGACAGTGCTTAATAGCATACGGAATGATCTTACTATTTTACAAATATACTGGTACTTTTCCGCCTTACTTAAATGCATACTTAAATTGTGCCTCGTCCCTCAGACTAGACGTTAATGAACCATATTCATTGTGCTGCTTTCATTCTGTCTATATCCTGAATGTAAAGTTGAATGCTAGCCGCAGGAACTATACTTAAGCTCTCCTCCTCCTCTCCTCCTCCGTCTTTGTGTTTGTGCGGTCGGGTGTGCTATCTGAGATACCCACTTAAAGAGGGAGGCTTTAGGTGAAAAGGGTCATTGGGTTGGCCTAATGATTCTAGTGCTCAGATTTTCCTGCCTAGAGCTATAGGAGTATAATGAATTTTATTCCACGTCATAACTCATCAACAAAAGTGTCAGTTGTTATAGGCCAGCTATAGTAAAGTAACACGGTATTGCAAAGGGCTCTGTAAGGCAGTTTCTTCTTATTTGTTCTTTCTGGAATCTGCTACATCGTCCACATGGTTAAGAAAGTGTCTTTTAGAATTCCGAGGGGCTTTCACCATGCCCAATATATGATCGTGGTGCACCATTAGAGTGCAGCTTTAATGGAAAAATCAACTATCCATTTTCAGATCCAAACACCTGTAATATGTGCACTTGCTTTGATATGGTTATTTGTATACATGCACAATAGATGATATGACATCTTGAGAGCCTTGTGGTGTGGAATAGGTGACTTTGCAATATGTGTGAGAGATGGAGAAGAGGAAGAGGAAGATGATGGTGATGGTGATGTGGTGGTGGTGCCGTGGTGACATACTGATATGATTATCATTAAGATATATTATTACTTAATATGGGAACAAAATGCCTTTCAAACAAGAAGCTGTTTTTTCTGCCATGTTAGTTATTGAAGCAACATGCCTGTTTTTTTTCCTTCATTGTAGTTGTGTTGGCATCTATTTTTAGAGACACTGGCAGTATAAACTTAAAGCCAAATCTAGTTCTTCATCTCCTCGAGGCTTTGGTCATTACTCGGGTTCTAACCCGAATAATCTTGTCCCAATGATCCCATGGACGTTTTCCCAACCCAATTCATTGAAATACCTGTGCATATCTGGCAGTTTCATGCTCTGGAGTCTGGACCATCTCACTCGATCTTCCATGCATACAGAAAAAGGCAGAATTGTGAGGCTTTTGAATGGCTTCGAGTTGAATAATACCGGCTCTCGCTGCCATCACTATCACCACCATGGCTACTGTCCTCGTTGTCTGTGTCCGATTCTGGCGCCCCCGGCTTGAAGATAAACAAGCCATGGCTTGAGCCAGGGTCACAAAACAGCCAAGCATGCACATCCCAGAAAACCTGCACCGCTTGCTTGTCAACTAAGACGGTCTGATTACCCCTGAATTTCCATTGCAAGTTCCGGATGTGGATTAAAACAATGCCATCTATGCTAATCCACATTTCAGGATCTCTAGGACCAGAGGTTGAACTCTCCACAACAATTTCATGTTCTTTCTTCTTGTGATCAAACTTGGCTCTTGTAGAGAAACATTTCTTGCCAAATACATGTTCCTTTTTGTAGAACAATACAGCATCAACGAGGGCAGGTCTCGATTTAGTTCTCTTATAAGCTTTTTTCTTGTAATCCCCCACCAATAACACCACCTCTTCATCAGAAACTAGAGCAACATAGAAATCTGTACTTGGCTCAGGACTTCCAGAAAATTTTGCTGACCTGAGATCCCAATAGACCTCCACTTGGTTTCCATCCACCTCAAATGTCTTGTCCCCTTTTTTCGCCCAAAAGTGCCAAGGCTTTAGGTCAATTTTGCAGGTATGATGATCATCAGTTTCTACACAATCAACAGAGATGTTCAAAATATGGTTCATTAGGTTTTTGCTCCATAAAATGGTTACGTTTCTCCAGTAACCCCCAATGTGAGTCTGATAGACGCATGTGACCGAACTCTGAGCAGTTTTCTGCGTTACAGGATCATCTGTTAATTTCTGAGCTAGAGAAGATTGTGAAGAGGACACTGATTGAGCCCTCGTGGTAAGTCGATAAGCCATGCTTAACTTTTTCTCTTACAGTACATAAATAGGAAAACCCCCTGTAAATCTGAAGGTGAAAGAATCAACAGGCCTCGGTTTTTAATGCTTTCGTTTAAATTGTCCACCTACATAGATATTCATGTTTCACCAGGAGAGAACAGACGCCGGGTCAGGAATAGATCCTCAGATGAACGGACAGTGCAATGTCCCCAAGAACGGATCAAAACCCAAGCTAGAGAGAGAGACACCGATGATTGAAATGAAGGGAGAACAGTATGGCCTGAAGAGCTCGGAAACATTCAACACTTTGATTTTTGTTTTTGCAGCAATGTGCAAGAGGATGGAAAAGTTCCCCAGAAAATGATTGTTTGGAATTATCTGGTCAAAGAACAAAGAAAGTTGAGAAATCAGAAGTTTGTTTTGTGGAGGAAATTTCTCAATCTACAGGCTGGGGGCAAGAGGTTCCCCTAAAAGGAAGGGCCTAATATTAGTAAACCTTCCTTTAATTCTGACTATAAATATAATAAAACACCAAATCGACAATACAACGGTGATACCATGTCTAATATTGGTTGATGATATGGTATTAGAGGTGGTAATTTTAATTCATTATTTATTAATCTGTTTAATCCACCCATAAATAAATGAGTTGAGTACCTATATTAATTAATATGGATTTTAAATGAATTGGGTAATATAATTCGTTTTAATTAAGCGAGTTAATATGGATTACAAATGGGTATTCATTGGGTTGAATATTTATCTTTTTATTAAATAGTACAAGTAATAAAATTAAATAAATATATTAATATATCAAAAAATATACTCATTATTACACTAAAAAATACACACATATACATTAATACACTAAAATATACACACTAGTACACAAAAAATTCACACACTAATACACCACACATGACCCAATGAGTTGACCCATGACCCATGGGTTGATCCATGACCCATGACCCATAACCAACCCATAATCCACAATTAATCCTGACTCATTATGTGTGTATTTTTTTTTACTAAATGTGTTTTAGTTTTTGTGTTAGTATGTGTGTATTTTTGGTGTATTAGTGTGTATTTTAGTGTATTAGTGTGTATATTTTTAATGTATTAATTTGTGTTTGTTTTGGTGTATTTGTATGTGTGTGTGTGTTTTGGTGTACTAATGTGTCTATTAGGAATTTTAATTATTTTATGGGTTAATCGGCTTAACCCAACCCCTTATAAACTCAACCTATTATAACCTATTTACTACGTAAGAAAAAATATATTGAATTTATTTTAGCCCAATCTAATTAACCCAACCCATAACCAACCCACCCCACCCATTTGCCACGTCTATATAGTATTATCAACCAATAATAAAATACCAAATGGGTAAAGTGAATTCTACTTGGTAGTTATTGACTTATATGAAAGAACAGTGGGTAGTTGTTTGTTTACATGGACGAGCAGTTATTGATTGTGTGAGGTTCACTACTTTATTTGTCTGCATATTATTAATTGGTGACACGTGACAATGATGATGTGATATTATTATTGTAATGAATATTTTTTTCTCATCAACACGATGATATCAAGCCGTTTTTGGGCTTCAAGCTGGTTCGTTTGATGGGCCCAGATGGGTTTACGTCTCAACAAATAATATTTGAAAATTATTTTTAGGAAGAGATTTAAAAAATTGTGTTTTGTTGTTTTTTGTGTCACATATATTGTTTGGTTGTATGATTTCAAAAATAGTTTTACGGAATAGAAAACAGTAAAATTTGTTTGGACAGTAACCCAAAAAATAATAAAAACAAAAATGTGGTGGTGATAGAAATGTGTTGGTGATGGTGGTGGGAGTGTGGTGGTGGACCCACTTTTTGTTCTCACTTTTCAAAAAATTAAAAAAAAACAGTTGGTCAAACAATTTTTCTCTTAAAAACAAATCAAATAGGATACTATTTTTGTAAATTTTGAGATACAAATCAAACAGGACTCTAATAGTTTGAATTGGTGCCTTCTCATAATTGTGGGGTCAATTCAAATTCTATCTAACATTACATGTTGTAAATTGAGAATTCAATTTATAAAAAATACAACTAAAATTGATTTAACTTTTATCTATTTTGATCTAATTATATAAAATTCATTCCACATAACTTTTTTCTCATGCACAAATGTTATATTTTTGGTACAATGTCATACAACTCAACCATCACATATCTCAATATCAGATAATTTCGTTAATTCACACATACCTATCTCTTCTCTCTCTTTCTCTCTCCCTTCTACCTCTTATTTTATTTTTGTTTACTTTTATTTTAAACTAAGGGTAACCTGTGCTTAAATGTACGAGTGTAACTTAAGTAAGAAGTGATGAATTTGAGACGATAGAAATTTAATGTGAATGATTTTGAAAGGAATGTTAAAAATCGTTAGATGAGTCTATTTGAGATCATTGAATGAACTTATTGAAATCTGTCATATTTAATATTATAAATTTGACACAAATAAAAATAATATTCTATAATTATTAATCTTTTTACAAATTTTATATTTTACTCATTTTTGGCTATATATTCCATAATTTTTGAACGAAAGGAAGCTCCAACACATCATATCAATAATCTAAGGAATCAATTTTAATTTGTTAATTTTAAGAGATTTGGTATGAACTTTTTTTTTTGTTATAGCACCCAATTTATTTGACCTAATTAGTTTTTTTTTTTTCATAAATCAATATAGTGACCCCAATTAAGTATATCCAAAAAAATATATCAAACATATATAATTTTAAAAAAAGAAAAAATTAGGATGGTCCAAGACTCCTCCTGTATCCGCCACTGCCAAAGAGAGAGAGTGAAGGTGAGAAGAGGAAGATAAAATTCAATCTGAATGATTTTCAGAGAGATGTTGGTGGCCGTTGGAATAGACGCATTTGAGACCGTCAAATGAATTTACTGAAGTCTTTCCTGTTTTATATTATAGATAAATCCACGAAATATGATATAATTGACTTAAAAAAATATTAATTTATATACGTGTAATCAAAATCGAACATTAATTTATATACATGTAATCAAAATCGAGTTAAATCTAATATAAATTAAAAATATAATTTATCAAAAAGAATATCGCTAAAATATGTTTTATTAAAAAATGTTCTACAAATATCATTTATAAAATATTATTTTTTTAATTAATACAAGTTATTACAAAGTTATTAATTTATAAGAATATATTAGTATTGGATTTTCTTAAGACATAAAAAAATTAGTCTTAAACTTTTTATTAAAGTTATGTGTAAGACATGTTAATTTGAGATAATTAAATAAATAAATAAAATTTAATTTAATTATATTCAATATAAATGTGTTAAATAGAACCCTTTTTTTTTATTTGTTAAATTGATGAGTTTTTTTTAATCAAAATGTTGTTATTGTGTCTTATAAAAATTCAAAATGTTACACTACACAAATGATATTAATGGAAAATTTGACTCATTTAATTATTATGTTAAAGAAAATTTTGTGTTGCAAAATCAGCCGTAATCGTTGATCGATTGAGAAAAAAATATTAAGTAAAAAATGATAATTTCTTGACCGTTAGATGAATGAATTTGAGATCGTAGGAGGTGTCCAAAATCAGCTGTAATCGTTGATCTATTGGGAGCTAAATATTAAGGAAAAAAAAAGTAATTTTTTAACCGTTGAACGAATGAATTTGAGACCATAGGATAGTCTTGTTGAAGCCGTTCTACTTTTTATTATTGGTTATAGATTGACTTAAAAAAATTATTAATTTATATAAATGCAATCAAAATCGAGTTAAATCTAATACAAACTAAAAAATTAATTTATTAACCAAAATATTTTCTGTCAAAAAATTATCTACAAATATCATTTATAAAATATTATTTTTTTAATTAGTAGAAACTATTACAAAATTATTAATTTATATGAATATATTAGCGTTAAGTTTTCTTAAAAGATTAAAAAAAAACTAATCTTGAACTTTTGATTCAAGATATATATAAGACATGTTAGTTTGAGATAATTAATTAAATAAATAAAATTAAAATTAACTATGAGTTTTTTTAATCAAAATTTTATCATTGTATCTTATACAAATTCAAAATGTTACACTATATAGATGATATTAATGATAAATTTGACCAATTTAATTATTATGTCAGAAAAAATCATGTGTTTCAAAGTCAATCGTAATCGTTGATTGGTTGAGAGATAAAATATTTAGGAAACAAATGTTAATTTATTGACTATTGGATGAATGAATTTAAGATCGTAAGATATGTTCAAGATCAACCATAATCGTTGACTTTTTAAGGGGGGAAATATTAACGAAAAAAATTATAATTTTTTCACCGTTGGATGAATGAATTTGAGACCGTAGAATGTATTCCAACATCAGTCGTAATTGTTGACTTTTTGGGGGGAGAAATATTATGAAAAAAATTATAATTTTTGACCGTTGAATGAATAAATTTGAGACCGTAGAATCAGGTTGTTAAACCGCTATGTTTTATATTATCGATTATGTAATTAAAAAATAGGTTAATTATAAAATACCCCCTCTAAGTTTGGGTTATGTTTCAATCAACTCCTCGTGGTTTCAATTTCGACAATTTACCCCCTTCAAATTCAAATGTGTTCAAATGTACAAAATTAACAAAGGAATTAAATAGAAAATTCTAAAATTACTCTTGTATCCTTTACTTTTTTTTTTTCTTGTGTGGTGGTAGCAGCTCTCTTTAACTTTTTTTATTGACATTATCCCCATTTTCTCTCCTCTTTCCCAGCTGGTCCTGCAACTCCAACACCACCGACCCCAACTTTTCTTACCACACATCCTTTACGAACATCACCACCAGCCACCAAATTACCCACCATGAGCATCACCTAACCACCGCCCATCATAACCCAACCAACCAAAAGAGAAAGAGAAATTCAAGAAAGGAGACCCGTTGCAAATACCACACCCACAACCAAATTCAATCAACATTACCACTGTAAATGTAACACCACAACCACTAGAAGATCTCTGACTCCACCTATTCAATATCCAGCAAAATTGGGTGACGCTGATGGTGGGTTTGAATTTCAGGTAGAGATGGATGTGGATTTCAGCGATGCTAATGGTGTGGCGTGCTTGTGGTCTATTTTGCTCTCTTCCTCTAATTAACGTCGACATGGGTCTGGTCGGAGGTGATTCCGATCAGATGGAGGAAAGGATGCATGCTCTTTCTCTTTCTCCTCTCTCTCACATACATATAATATATATATATATATATCACACACACACACACACACACCCCAATGACGATAGAGATTCAGTGGCAAGAGGTTTCAACCTCTGGAAGGATGATTGGTAGTTGATGAGTGAAATGGTTTTCGCCCAAGAATGGGGGTAGTTTCACTCGAGGAAGGGTTGGCTCGGGCTGATTGGGAGCTATTGTTGGGAGTGGAGGTGGGTTTCGTTTTCGATTTTCAACGGAGGGGGGAAGGAATAGGGTAAAATCACCAATTGAGGGAAGGTTGATTTTCACCGGAGGAACTCACTAGCTTTTTATGTGGAGAATAAGGTGGTTTGGATGATTTGGGAGAGAGTGGTTAGAGTTGGGGTTTCATCGAAGGAGCTCGCCGACTTTCACTGGGTTTTGCTTGTGGAGGGTTGGGTTGTATTCTTTTTTTTTTTTTTAAGATTGAAGGGTATATATGTCTTTTAATTATGTTAATATTGACATCTGTTAATTTAGACGGTCAAGGATTATGGTAATGGGGTGATTGAGAAATGTTAAAACTTGAAAGTGCAAATTGTGAAAGCCGAAGTTGATTGAAACATGACCCAAACTTGGAGGGGTATTTTGTAACTAACCCTTAAAAAATTACTATTTATTTAAAATATAAATGTTATCCAAATAATATTTAATTTTTGATATTTCATTGTGTCTCCCTGCAGTGAGTTCTTGCATTGGGTATTCAATATGGAGGCAAAATTTTTCAGTAGACTAGTTGAGCTTAGGCTTAAAATATTCCAACAAATATAATTTATAGCAATACTCAAATTAGAGTCTCAGGTTCTCAAGCCTAGTCTGAACCCAATTTGAATTAATGAATTAAAATTCAACTTGAATTGAACCCGAAATTCTAATCCGCAAAATTGAATTAGGTTCGATATGAGATATGAGTTAAACTTGAAGTCACGCCCAAATTGTGTAAACAGTAATGGAGCAACACTGATATAAATATTCTTGCCTCAGGTTAAAAATAAGTACATTGTTTGTTTCATTAAATGTTTATAACAACTAAATAAAAACTATGTGGGCATGAAAGCATTTTTATGAGTAAAACACCATATGAGCTAACGGTACGACAGAAAAACAATACATTAGTTTGGACAATTCTCTAATGAACCTCATCAACAATAACAACTGAATACCTGGAAGATGTGGGTCCAACAATGCTTTTTCTGTAAGCATATTCAGCCTTCAATAGACAATAAACAAAAATAATACTAATGGTTCATGAGAAGATTTCAAACTGTATAGAGGGAGAAAACTCTTTCACGGTAAACTATCAACCCCATCTATGATAGACACCAAAAACCCATCAATATGATAATAAGCAGGCAAACAACTCCACGGCGGTAAAACTAACCGCATCTACAATTAAAACCAAAAATCCATCACTATTATGGTAGCACTCAGATTTTCGTAAGATTGAGACTGTTAAACTTTACCTCCAATAGTGAAAGAGAATATTTATATGAGAAACTCAGTTTGTGGTCTTGATTAGTTTTCTTATTCCATTTTCTTATGATATAATTATCCAGACATCCTATTTTTGAATACCCTCTATTTCTTGACAGACGCGTAATGTGCAAGGCATGCACATCAACACTACCGCCCTCGATATCTCTGGTGGAATTCTCTTGAGTTTGAATGTCTAATTTTTCTGACAGTATAGCAACTACTTTTTTCATGCTCAAATACTTCAAATGAACTCATAAAGGTAGCACAAATAATAGAAACCACAAAAAAATCAAATGAACGATTTAAATGCACTTTGTGTACTATTTTCATAATCCTAGAACAAAACTGCACGACGATCAAAACACTAGTAATATAGTCTTTACCACTCAAAGAATATGCCTTGCTTATCTTGCTATTCCACTTATACCCGATTATCATGATCACCATAAAGGCTAACAACACATTAACAATTGCCAGCGTAATATTGAGATTAGTTAATCTTGCTTCGCTGACAATTTGACAGATTATTGCCACTTCAACCTCCAAAATCCAATTCATCGACTAGACCTTTCAACAAACACAATAATTAAGTTAGAATGATATATGACGTAAACATACCATTAAATAATTTTAGTTTAATACAAAACAAGCATACCTCTTTATACAATGTTATGTCACAGTCTAATAACTATAGTCATTAAATAAATAAAGTTATTTAATATATTGAATAAAATAAAAGCGAACAAGAACTCAAAATTAACCTTTTTATATGTTGTTCTCATCCAAGCTACATACTGCAAAATATTTAATAGTTAAAATCCCAATAAAACATAAATTTCAACCTTGCATTTAAGTCAAAGTTTACCCTTTCAAAAAATTTTCCAATCTCATTGTAATAGTAGTTAACCACCGCTAATCCAACGACAGTGAACAATATAGCAAGTATGAGTAACAGTGAAATATCTATCATGTCATGCATTGATTCATGAAAGAATTAAGGTCAATGCCCAAAGAAAATAGAGAGTGACACAAATAGATGACTTGACATCATTTTAAACATTTCTTCGACTTCCATTCAGTTTTTTGAATATTAATACTTTTATTGACATATAAAAATTTGTTGGACCTGGACCGAGCTTTGTGTGGGCAAATGAATGGAAGTCATGAGAATAACCATCATAATGGTGCATATGTAAATAATTTGCAGTACTGAGCATCTATGACCCTGAGTAAGACATGGAGAAAAGGAGTATAATGATAAAGAGGGTAAAAGTAGGACACACTTTTATTGAATTTTTATTATATTCATCTTTTCGGTTAACATATAAACAAACATTGATCCTTGATTTTCAATGAAATAAAATATTTGAGTATTCAATTTCGGCTTCTAAATTCAAGGTTGAACTTTAGTTGGCAAAGCTAATTAGTGTTCCAATACTTACTTTGGACTAAAATAGACGAATATTGAACTTTTTAACTGAGGATCTGTTTGTATTTGCAAGAGAAATGATGCATGACTTTATTGTAATGATTTGGGGGTGAGTTGGGTTTGAGTTTCAACTAGTAAGTCAAGGAAGAAGATGGAGAAACAAATTACAAAAAGAAAAGGGAATGTTGATGGGACCAGAGAGAGAGAGAAAGAAACTTCTGGTAGAGAGTAGCTTAAATCATAGATCTTAAGTGCCAAAAAAGGCCTACTGCTCGCAATGGGTTATAGTTGTGGCAGACAAGAATGATTTCTCTCTCTCTCAAAATATGAAGAAATGCATTTTTTGTTGTCCAACTCTCACACAAACCCTTGTTGACGCATCCAACTCCAACAAACTCTTTGTGATGCTTTCTACTTCATAAGAGTGTCATGTAAACTTTCTAGCACAATCTGTCTTGGCCATGTTTTTCTCCGTATATGAAAATTCAAGTAAACTATGATTATATTGTAATGGAGCAACACTGATATATAAATATTCTTGCCTCAAGCTAAAAATAAGTATATTGTTTGTTTCATTAAATGTTTAGAACAATTGAATACAAGCTCTGTGGGCATGGAAACATTTTTATGAGTAAAACACCATATGGACTAATGCCTCGATAGAAAAACAATACATTAGTTTGGACAGTTCTCTAATGAGCCTCATCAACAATAACAACTAAATACCTAGAGAGATGTGGGTCCAACAATGCTTTCCTTGCAAGCATATTCAGCCTTCAATATACAATAAACAAAATTAATACTACTGGTTCATGAGAAGATTTCAAAATGTATATAGGGAGAAAACTCTTTCACAGTAAACTAATAGCCCCACCTATGATTCACACCAAAAATTCGTCAATATGATAATAAGAAGGCAAACAACTCCACGACAGTAAAACTAACCCCATCTACAATTAAAACAAAAAATCCATCCCAATTATAGTAGCACCCAGATTTTCATAAGACTGAGACTACAAGACTTTACCTCCAATAATGAAAGAGATTATTTATATGAGACTCAGTTTGTAGTATTGATTAGTCTTCTTATCCCATTTTCTTCTAATATAATTAGTCGGACATCCTCCTTTTGAACACCCTCCATTTCTTGAAAAACCCGTAATGTGCAAGGCATGCACATCAACATTACTACCCCCGATATCTTCGGTGGAATTCTCTCGAGTTTGAATATCTGATTTTTCTGACAATATAGCAACTACTTCTTTTCACGCTCAAATACTTCCAAGGAACTTATAAAGGTAGCACAAATAATAGGAACAACAGAAAAATCACACAAACGATTTAAACATACTTTGACTACTATTTCCATAATTTTAGAACAAAATTGCACGACGACCAAAACACTAGTAATATAGTCTTTAACACTCAAAGAATATCCCTTACTTATCTTGTTTTTCCACTTATACATGGTTATCACGATCATCACGAAGGCAAACAATGCATTAACAATTGCCAACGCAATCTTGAGATTAGCTAATCTTGCTCTACTAACAATCTAATAGAATATCGTCACTCCAACCTCCAAAATCCAATTCACCAAAATAGCTACGCCGAATAGACCTTTCTACAAACACAATAATTAAGTTAGAATAATATATGACTAAAACATACCATAAAATAAATTTAGTTTAATAAAAAACAAGCATACCTCTTTATACAATGTTATGACCTTGTCTAAAAATTATAGAAATTAAATAAATAATGTTATTTAATATATTGAATAAAATGAAAGGGAACAAGAACTCAAAATTAACCTTTTTATATGTTGTTCTCATCCAAGCTACACACTGCAAAATATTTAATAGTTAAATCCTAATAAAACATAAATTTCAACCTTGCTTTTAAGTCAAAGTTTACCTTTTTCAAAAAATCTTTCCATCTTATTATAATAGTAGCTAACCACTGTTAATCCAATGACAGTGAGCAATAAAACAACTATGAGTAACAGTGAAATATCCATCCTGTCATGCATTGATTCATGAAAGCCATAAGGAAAAAATTAAGGTCAATGCCCAAAGAAAATAGATAGTGAAGCAAATAGACAACTTGAAATCATTTTAAACATTTTTTCGACTTTCATTTAGTTTTTTGAATATTAATACTTT